TTAGAAACAAGCAAGTAAACAAGTAGTATTCTTAACAGCGTCCATATAAGAATAAGAATTAGTTTGACTAATTTAAAACTGTATATTCATTGTCTATTTAATATTTTTCATTAAAAATTACGAACAGTTTTCCGGACAGAAGGGAAAATTACGGAACAATTTAAACCAGATCCCTACTTTTGTAGTAAATAAATGTCTGACAAGGTTAGTTAGTGTGTGAGGAGGTTATGAACTGAATTATCTTCTTATAATAGTTGATATACAATTATAATACAGCTGTGTATTTAGTAGAATATACAATAGATCAATCACAAGCATAAAATTTATTGAAAAGGTTCAAGTTTAATTCAAATATAATTTCAAGACAAAAGATTTTTAAAATAAAAAATAAGACTTTTTTTCTATTCAAGAGTTGGTGATTTATCACCTTATAACGGGTCTTTTAGAAAATGATGAATCTAATGTCTTTGTATCTGTCTGTGTTTATCAGGATTCGCTGTGCTTTTAGGTTGGTGAGTGTTGGGTTATTGTGACTGTCAATTATGTTGAACAGTTTCAGTGCACGATCTTTAATGTATTTTTCGACTGAATCGACTCTCAGATCTCTATGAATATCTACTCCTCTTATGTACCACGGGCACTAATCAATACCACGGAGCGATATTTTGCTCTCTGAAGAATTTTTAATGTGGAGTAGTCCTGGTTATAATAACCTGCTTGTATATGTTGATAAAATCGTTGTATATTATTGCTGCGTTGGTATCCTAAACTGAATTGTTCTATATTATTTGTTGATAGATTAGTTAAGTACTATTTTTTTCAAAATGTAATCGCACGGAAATGAAAAATGGATTTTTAGTTGTGAGATGTTAGTAGTCGTGAGTTATATGGAGCTAAACCTAGCCAATAGGTTAGTTATTCATACCGGATACCGGAAAACCGTGTTTACTCCAGCACTTCGGTATAAATTTCCATAGCTTTAAAAAAATTTTTTTCTTAAATAGATTTAATTGCTTAGAACGTTTTTTTTTTTTTCATTGGTAAAAAATGCAATTTCAAATGTCTTGTGAGCAAAGATTTACAGATCGACATAAAATTTTGGTTAAGTTCTTTCCAAAAATAAAATATTAAATATTTATTTTTTATTTATTTTAAATATAAGGATTTCTCCTGATGAAGGCAAAAGCGAATTTGCCGAAATACGTATAGGAATATACAAAAAAAAACACGATTGAAATAAAGGTTAAAATCATAAAGAAATAAAAAACAAAAGCGACTTTAAATTTAATTTTAGTCAAATAATTAATTTTGACTATTTGAATTAATTTAAATTTAATTCATAGTATAGTATAACATTGTCAGGATTAGCTTATCCTGACCCCTTTTGGAGTTACCCCATGACTTAAACATTGATTTTTTTTAAAGCAAATCACATTTATTTATATGGAACTTAGGTTTAGCAATGTTTCATTGGTCAAATATCTGTTAAGTGCTTTTGATGTTGTTTTTTAAGCTATATTTTGGTACTATTAAATAAACGCTAAGAGGTAAAGGCGGTACTCATCTTGTTTGTCAAACGGCACTTTAACCTGTTTTATTGAGGAATTTTGCTTTAAGAATAAAGATATATTAGGCTTTAGAGGGTTTTAAAGATATTGGGGATTATTTAAGATCGCTTTTTTTTGGATAGACTTTTCTTTTGTAATATGTATCTTGGAAAGTAATAAAAATGTACCTCTTTCATATGCTTTTTTTTTACAATATTTATACGCACGTAGATATAATGTGAAACGCTAGATAGATATAAAGTGAATACCAATTTTTATTTTATTTATTAATGGATGTGCCAATTATTACGTTTTTTTTTTAAATATTTAATTCATACAAACAAAAGCTAAGAAATAAAATATTTAATGTTAAAATTTTAATAAATTTGCATCATTTACTAATTTGTATATTTTTCTTTTATGCAGCTGGAACTTGTTTGCAAGTTGGATGTAAAAATGGAGGAACCTGTATAAAAAAGAGTAACGGATTATCATATTGCAAGTAAGTTAATATAAAACATACTTAAACAGTAACGTCTCGAAACTTCACTTCACTAAAAATCAGAGTCAATGAAAGTTTTAGGAACGTTGCAAGTACCAAACCGTTTATATAAATAACATCAAATAAACATCTTTTACATATAAACTAATTAGAATATATATATATATATATATATATCTTATATATATAATTCTTCTGTACGTGTGTTGACAGTGAACTTCTCCTAAACGGCTGAACCGATTTTAATGAAATTTTTTGTGTGTGTTCAAGTGGATTCAAGGAAGGTTTAGATTCACAATTTGGTCCACTGGATAATGTCTTTTTAATTAATTTTTTATTTTTTGGTATCCATATACATTACTATTAAAAATTTAAAATTTATTCATGCTTACTTTGATTTGTTTAAAAAGTTTAAAATCTCTAAAATGAATCGTAAAATTGCCGTTGCATAGCTTGAGTGCATTTAAATTCCGCAGCATAATTATAGGTGAGCCAATTTTTAATCTTAAGTTATGTGTTGGTATTCCTGGTATTCCAGCGAATTCAAAAATTCAACAGGATAGCTGAACGATTCATTTTAGAGTTTAAACTTTTTAAACAAATCAAAGTAAGAATGAATAACTTTTTAATGTCTAATATAAATGTATATGGATACCAAAAAACTGTATAATTAAAAAAACGTTATCCAGTGGACCAAATTGTGAATCTAAACCATCCTTGAATTCACTTGAACACACACAAAAAAGAAGAATTATATATATAAAGATATAAATAACGTACAATAAAAAACAATATGAATAACATATGAGTCGGATATCGACTATTCGTCACATTCACGAATTGTAATCGGTGCTATGAACAAACAGTGCCAACACTGTCATGCACTCAAATACAAAGGTAAATCGGCCGGTTTCTGCTGCGCATCTGGAAAAGTTGTATTGCCACCATTGAATTTGCCGCCAGAACCATTGAAAGCACTATTGGCTGGAGCTACATCTCAATCTAAATTGTTTTTTCGTAAAATTCGCAAATTCAATTCGTGCTTTCAAATGACATCATTTGGAACAACAAAAATCGTTCAGAATGAGATTGGTCGCAATTTTCAATTAACGCTTAAGATTCAGGGCCAAGTGTATCACCAAATTGGTTCTTTAATGCCGATGCCCAATAATGATCCCAAATTTCTGCAAATCTACTTCATGGGTGATGAGAAGCAGCAAATAAACGCACGTTGCCAGTACAACCATATCGAGCAGATGGAGGAGCAAGAAATTCTGGGTATTTTAGAACCGTTTTTAAAAAATCACAACCAGTTGTTCAATACTGTTTCAAACAGACTGCTAAACGACAACTATACAATCGTCATCAAAGCAGACAAAGTACCATCTGGGCAGCACACAGGCCGATATAATGCACCGACTATTAATGAAGTTTCAGTTGTTATGGTTGGCGACGCATTTGAACGTCGAGATATACGAATACAACGTAGAGATAACATAATGCATACGATTGCAGACAGTCATCGCTCTTAGGACGCTTTGCAATATCCATTGATATTTTTTTTTCATTTAAAATTTAGTGCTTATAAGGATTTGAAATAACATGAAAATATTTGTAACATAAGTAATGCATGTGGACTTTTTGTAGTTCAAAAGAAAAAGTCAATTCAAAATAATTTTCGCATTAAAGGTTAAGTTGAATAACAACAAATATTATAACTCAGCTGAGCCAGGAAAATTAATTGCAAGGGGAAACAACGTTCGCCGGGTCAGCTAGTATATATATATATGTTTAATTAAATATTTATTTTCTTACTACAAAATAAAGTAACTTAAAATTTAGCTTTAAATTATTCTAAAATGCCATAAGAAATTATGAGGGATATTGCTTATTGGCTTCATAATCTGTTTTTTGTTTTTAATAAACTTTTTTTTATTGAAAACTAAAGTAAAATTTTACTTTAGTGTCGTGAGAGCAACGAGTTAAAATAATATTATGAAATACACTTCAAATCACTAATATATTTTAGTAATAGTAATTTTAGTATTTTAGTAATATAAAAAATAATTTTCATTTATTGGTCCTTAAAGTTGGCCATGCCTATTTTAGCTGAAAACTGGACAGCATTCTCTTTTGCCTGCCACATGAAAAGTAACGTGACTCAAAAAGACTTTCGTATATATGCCTATAAGTTTCTCAGAAGTTGCCCAACTTCCAAATATTCTACATATCAGCATTTATCACTTGATTATAAAAGAGTAAAGAGAGTATGAAAGAATTTACAAACTTTGTCACAAGCAATGTTCATATTTATACAATGAGTGTATTAATCTGATAGAAAAATGCTTTAATAGATATTTTTTGTATGTCATATTTATATTTATAAACAAGTATTTTTTCTTCTATTGGGCTTATTTACACTATCATGAACGTGAGATGAACTTGACGACAACTGTCGGTTGTTACACTGCATATGTATGCGTGTCAAGCTGAAGAAACGCAGTAAATTTCTTTGCGTGAAATTCTTAAACTCACATCACACTCGCTTCCCTCTCTCATCTATCGGTAACCGGTTTTCAAGTTCATGTTCATGTTACGTTCATGATAGTGTAAATAGGCCCATTGTTTTTCTGTTAGTGCATTAAAAAACTGAGAGTAAAAAAATTCAAATACCGCTACTTTCACGAAAATTTATAATCAGATATTTTTCACCCTAAGATTCCTACTTTCTGATCCCAATATACGATATTTTATTTTAAAATTCCGCAAGAAAAAGTGTTCACATAGAAGTAAGGGCTTTCCTTTTTGGACTAAATGCTATTTAATTCATTATAAATACGATTTTGTCGTTTAATCTTTATACTGCGTTTGTACAAAATCCTGAAATATCATTCTTTATAAGTACATTGTGACCGAAAGGTTTTCGGAAATTCTCATTTAAAATTCGCGCGCTGTATATTTTTCGATATTTTAAGTTGTTATGTAGTTTGCAGCACTGTCCTTAATTACTATGCAAAAATGAGCTGCCGATCTGTCAGGACAGTTCGTTTACGGCAGCTGTTGAAACCAGTTCACCTCAGTAGTGCGTTGCGAAAAAAACAATGGAAAAAAATATTGAACAAAGAGTTTGCATCAAATTTTGTTTTTCGAACGAAATTTCGTGTGCAGAATCGTTGCGAATGCTACAAAAGGCTTATGGGGAATCAGTTTTATCGAAAACTCAAGTTTATGAGTGGTACAAAGCCTTTCAGGACTGTCGTACGACCGTCGAAGACATGCCGCGTTCTGGACGACCTTCGACCTCTACCACCGACGAAAACATTGAAAAGGCAAAGGAAATCGTGTTCAAAAATCCTCATGTGAGTGTTAGAGAGATAGCACGAGAGCTAGGCATCGGTCGTGAGATGGCTCGTTTGATTTTGGTGGACAATTTGTGTATGCGACGTGTCAACGCCCGGCTTGTTCCGATTCACCTCAATTTGTTCAACATTATCAACGATTTTAAGGCCAAACATTCAATAAATACCATCGAACAGCCACCGTATTCACCTGATCTTGCACCGTGTGACTTTTTCCTGTTTCCCAACCTCAAATTACCACTCAGAGGAACGCGTTTTGAATCCATAGAAGACGTAAAACAGAATTCGCAGAGGGAACTCAAAGCCATACCGGAAAGCGCCTATAAGAAATGTTTATGATTGGAAGAAACGTTGGCATTTGTGTATCGCTTCTAATGGAGCATATTTTGAAGGAGATAAAATAAATATTGATGAAGGTTAAGAGTTTTGCGTTTTATTTAAAATTTCCCGAAAACTTTTCGGTCACAATGTAAAATAAAAAAAATAAACAAATATCGGAATGAACGGCAGTTTCAAGTTAAAAAATTTTATAAACCTGTTTTCAAACATTTTATATGTGGGCCAGAAAGATAGGAAGAGTATCGTGTACCAGAGTCACGATATTTGAGATCGGAATAATTGAGCAGAAACTTTTCTATGTATGGGAAACATTTAATTTTGGACCAATTAGCTCAAGTGTTTCAGCAAAAAAAAATTATTTGAAAATGTTGTACACATCTTTTTAGCAATTTACAACAATTCAAAATCAGAACACAGTCTTAATTAAATTCGAATAACGTAATATCAATCAAATCAATTAATTCCACACACTAGTATAGTTATCAACTCTTCTACCTCTCGACAGCAATTCAATCCTGTTTACTACCCGATCCAATATTGATTAGGGAGTGGATTTAAAATCATTGATATAATGTTGAGTATTACAAAATGAGGTCTTCAAATTGCTATTTTTATTACGTGCACTAGAAAAACTGATTGATTTAAAAATTGGCAATTATAAAAGAGGATATGGTTTAAAAGTTGTAAATATAGAACATCAGGGTTGCAATGCTCCTGAGTGTGTGTTCAGTTTAATGGACAAACATGCCTCAACGCTTTATCACACACACAATTTATTATGATGAAGGCAGTGAGTAGGTATGTACCTGAAATTCTTGAAACTTTGGAATAAATACAATTAACAATTGACGACCAAAATAAAGTTTCAATTGTAATACAAAATTATTATCAAGAATTAACTACATATTTTCATTTACGTGCACATCAATTAATAAAGTTAACACGTCGTTGACCCATTGAATTTTAATTTCTAATAAATAAATTAGAATAAGATAACACTAGTTCAGAGCCAAAAATTTCCAAAGATACGTAACTTATATTTCCTATGAGGAACTTTTCCATAGAACTCGAAAATTACAAAGTTCTTGAGATAACGATGTCTCTAAAAATGCATTTCTTACACTCTCATGTGAACTTTTTCCTTCAAATCTCGGTACAGAAAGTGATGAAAAAGGTGAAAGATCACCTTCTTCAGGATATCTCTGCATGTTGGGAGATTATTGTTAGACAATTATAAGAGAAACAAATCCTACACTCATATGCCTCATTATAATATATAAATACTTATTCAAAAATGCAGTTTCACGTCCGAAACTGCATATGCAATGTATTGCACTTATATAAAATGCAGTATATTAACATTTAATAATATTAATATTTAATTTTTAAATAAAATTTGTTCAGAAGAAATAATTTTTCTGATTTGTTCAAAACCACTATTTTGTGCAAATATGGAATATGGCGAATAACTTCTGAAATTTTTATTCCATTTTTATGTTAAGCCAGAAGCATTTTACTTGTTTTAAAACAGCGTTTAACATGAATTAAAAAAAAAAAAATTTTAAATATTTTTGTAAGAGTCCCATAAAAAACACTTTTCATCTATACATTTTTAGCTATAGCAGCTAAACCAATTAAAATGTCAATATTTAGGTCTAGAAATTTCCAGCAATTTCCGTTTCATTCCGATGTGAAATGCTGTATTGAACTGGAATATGAAGTTTTTGAAGTTTTTTAAATTGTCATAAATCTTTTATGGCAATCTTTTATGGTATTGCGCTACAACGCCGCACTGAGATATATATTTTTAAATATATTTTTTTAATGTATTATATATAAAAAACAAGACAATTATTAATAATTTATGTACTTTTTTAGTTGCAGTTCAAGATTCGTTGGAGATTATTGCGAAGATCCAAATCCCTGCTTTACAGGCCACCTTCGTTGCCAGAACAGTGGAACGTGCCAACCTTCATATCGGAACGATCGTCTAGGTATATCCTGCATTTGTCCAATTGGTTTTACGGAATCACTGTGTGAAATAAAAGTTCCTAACGCTTGCGATTCTTCTCCATGTCACAATGGAGGGACGTGCAATTTAAAAACTCTTGAAGAGTATTCTTGTTCTTGTTCAAATGGTTATACAGGTAAGATTTTATGAACTATTCATAGGAGTGAGTTAAATTTTTTCATGCAAAAGAATGCATTTTTTTAAGAAAACTTTAGAATATTTAAAAGTAACACAGATCACATTATATAAAAATACTTGAATGCTTATATCTACGAATCTTAAGTCTGGACGAATTTTAGTTTTAAGCTATTTTAAGCGTCACAAAAGTCTTCCAAGCAATTAAGGCTCTCTATGTGTTTGCAACCTTCTCGAGTGAAAACCTAGAAGTGTTCTATTCGGATTGATAAAAGCGTCCATCGCCACCTGGGTTAGTTATATTTTAATTTTCACTTGAAGCTTCTTAGTTTCACACCTCTTTAAGCGGTTATAGGCTGTTATATTCGCGTTCCCTCACTCGATTGGCAATGAGCTACTGCATCCCTCGGCGATTCTACAATTGATATCGTTAGGTTGCGAAAATTCGCGCTCTTGGAAACAGCTATTGGAGGTAGCTATTGTGCTGCTTCTCACATGTTCATCAGTTGATTCAGCAGCTTTCGAATAATATCGCATGTTGTGGTGGGCAGTATCCTGTCCACCTGATAGATACAAGACTAGTTTGTTATTTGATATTCTCAATGGTCATACGCGTCCGTTTTGCCTGGCAAGGTGAATTCATTGGATAATAATACCCTGTATTAAAGGGAAATGTTAACGGTAGCGTTATATATTTAAAGTTTAAAGGACGGACCTTTTTTTTTTTAAAACAAGACATATGCAATTAGGTGCTTTGATGAAGGCATGATCACCTTCAAAAGTGATTCCCTTATTATCACGGTTCTATTACTTTTTTGTCTTATTTTATATTATACAATTTGTCCTTGTATAATAACAATACATATTGCTTTCCCTGGTGCAAAAGAACCAGCAATTGCTGGGGAAAGCAATTCAATGCCTAATTCATTGACTTCACGCTATGGCATTTCAAAACTAGTCTTTCGTGGAGTTTTTTTTTTTATTTTCTACAACAACTGCCAATTGTAGACGACCTATAAGACCCTGCATCGTTGTAGGTGTTTGTATGCGTGCGTTTAAATTCAGCTTGTCAATTAACTAAGTTGATTTCCTGGTACAGATTCTCTACGAGGGATATCAAGGTGCTGTTTGTTTGGATTTAACAGTATTTTTCCTGACCAAAAAACACTGTTTAATCAACATACGAAATGTTGCACCCTTAACAGTGATACCAAGCTGCTATGATGTTTAGTTTGTGCTTATTTACCAAGTCTTGCATTAGTCTATTCGGCGAATTTTTATGTTTCAAAATATCGCAACCAGAGACGACAATACTAATAGAACTACGAATATATGAATACAAGGGCTGCCTTTTAAGTCTTGCGCACCACAATTAAAACACATTGTTTAATCATTGAAAATGGTTTTATTTATTCTTTTTCGAAAAATATCCTCATGATGATCAATACATTTTTATAATCTATTAAAACAATTTTCGAAACAGTTTTGCCAATCTGATGTTGGTATCTCTAACACTAGGGTTTTGAATGTATCAACGGCCGTCCTGTTCGGACATATAAAAACGCTCGCCACGCATTTTTTTCTTAATGTTTCAAAACAAAAATAAATCATTGGGTACCAAATCGGTAATGTAATGCGAATAACCCACTCTTGAAGAACATATTATATTCGCTATTAATCTCCGCAGCATTTCAAATAAAAAATTAAACGAATATGTTGTTTTAAGCCAGTTACAAAAGGATCCAACTGATTTTTTTAACGCTATTTCTAGAATAGATATAATTGGTTAATCTGATATCATGCTGCCCACATACTAACGACATTTCAATAGTAAAAATATACTAGTATTAATATACTTTAATACCTATTAGTGAGAAAGATATTAAAGTTTTAGTCAATTACATATTTAAATATAGAGACGTCCGAGCATCTAACAAACGAAAAAAAAACATGATACCACCCGGTGGTACAAAATCTCAGAATATATACTAAACTACATACAAAGAAATGGTTTCGGAAAAAAAAAAAATCCATCAATTGCTAGTTAGATACATATACATACTGTTAATGAATGGAAGCGTCTTTGGTAACGATTGTTTTTCCGTGGTAGAGTTCATGAGTGGTATACTCATGAATGTAAGTCGTTTAAAGATGGTTGTGAAGAGCAAGTTGTTGGCCCACAAAACCCAATATTACCGCAGATTCCATCAATAAAAAAAAAACATGAAAAATTCGTTTAACACACTTTTGATAAAAAACACTGTTTTTCAAGAATAAACCATATTATTCCTTAATAACTCAATATTAAATAGAAAATAATAAACCTCTATATAAGTAAATAATGTGTCATTATTTAATGAAATTGTTTTAGGCGAACATTGCGAAGTACAAAATCTGTGTGCCACCCAACCGTGTCGTAATGGAGCTACGTGCACTTCTTCAGGAAAAGGCAGTAGTTTTAAATGCTTATGCCCAAAAGGTTTTAAAGGCCATACCTGCTCTGAAGATATTGAGGAATGCAAAGCAAACCCTTGCAAGCATGGAGGAACTTGCTTAAACACTCATGGATCTTATCAGTAAGATGTTTTCCGAATATAACTTAAAATTAATTTAAAATATTGTTTTTGTAGTATAAAAAAAATTAACTTTTTATAGCAGAGGGCAGCGCAACTTCAATTTAATATATATACCTATCTAAATTATGAATTTTATTTTTTTTTTTATAGGTGTATGTGCCCTAGCGGATACACTGGCAAAAATTGTGAATCAAAATATATTCCTTGTACGCCTTCGCCGTGTCTAAACGGAGGTTCATGTTTATCTAGTAATTCCCTTAAATATGAATGTAAATGTCCGTCTGGTAAGTTAAATATTTGAAAATGAATTTTTTTATATGCATATGGTAATATTTAATATATAGCACACTTGTATATGTATATGTATGTGTAAAAATATTAAAACAAATACCTTATAATATTGCAAATTTTTATTATAAATGAATTTTTGATTCATTATGAAGTGAAAAAAAATGCATGACCTGATTAGACATTATATTTATAATTTTTTAAAATAAATTATTAACAATAAACACAATTTAAAAAATTTAGTGCATAATTTTACTTTATTGCACTACATTATCAAATCAGTTCAGAGTTCAAACAGTTCAGAGATCGATTACAAAAAAACAATGCAAGATAGATTGATAGATAGATAGATTGCACCTAGTCTACTAAAACTTACTAGCAATATTAATATGGCGGGAACTTATAATAGTCGACACACAATCTAAAGGTTCGACTTATGAAGACGAAGACATCGAGTAATTGTGTATAATTTGCTCTATAAACCCTGTTGCACTATTTAGTTCTAGTTATTGGAAATTCGATTGTCTGTATCCTTTGACACCTTGTAACTCGATTTATTCTGAAAACGCTCCCCATAGGTTTTTTTAATTTTAAAAAGTTAGAAAGAAAACATAAGATACTACGATCGATGATTGTGGTTGATATCATTTTATCACGTGAATTAAACAATTTTGCTGTTCGAGAATTGTTGTAGAATTAGCTAATACATATCGTGAGAAAATAATATTATTTTAAGTTCAGTATCTAAATAGTAAAAACGCCCGTAGAAGAGTTATGGCCAATAGTCAAAGTAGACACATGCATGTAAAAGACGGTTTTGTTTGTGGCATCAAATTTATTTGATGCAATTTTGAAGACTAATGCGTGAATTTAATACCTTATACGTTTTTTAGAAGTTATAGAAAAGTAATGAAGATATCTGTACGGTGCATATCGATGACAGAGATTGATTTTCTTTTATTAGTGTGTGGTCAAATTGCATACAAATGCCTGCATATCGTTGAGTCTTGTCATCTTTTATTAAAAAGTTCGACACTGTTTGAGCTCAACACCAATTTGCATGTTATCAACGATGCGCCCAGATTGTTATTGTTAAGGTGTTCCGAGTGGTTTCCTAAAGCACCCTGTATGGCTAGTACGTCTGCTTTGCAATTGCCGAAAATATCCCTACGACCGGGAACCCAGATTAGGGAATTACTGAACTGCGTCGACAACTCATTTAAACATGTGTAGCAGTCAAAGACTATCTGTCCTAAATGTTACGTACATAAAAATCAATTACCTAAAAATTAGAAGCTTTTTTTCTTCTAATATAATATTATTATTATTTTTCTGCACTATTTTGAAGCTTTATAAATTATGCAAAGCTATTTAATTTGATATAAAAAAGTGAAAAAGTGCATGATCAAAAAACTATTGCATATATACGAGAATATTTATGTGCAGATAGTTTTTTTTTTATTTTTTTTTTAACGTCCCTTCACAATTATGCCATTTTTTGTACATACATACATACACACATGTATAAAATGCAAATTTAGACTAAAATGCACTGTCGGTTTTGTTGTATGTGTAAAAATGTTTGTATACCACACATTTCAATGATTTATTTTGATGACAGCAAAATATATACTACATGTAAAAATGTCAGAGCAAATACAATTTAAAATTTTATTTAAGTATACATATTATCTGCCATACGTTTCAATGGATGTTTTCATGTAGTATGTATGTATGTAGGTATGCATGTACGTGTGTACGTATGTATAGTCACATATACCTTTGAAATGGAATAATATACATGAAAAATACCAGGCAAGGCTTAAATTAAACTAGCGCACCTTACAAGTCATGGATGCGGGGAAACCTTATGTTAGTGAAGTGAGACGTGAGACACAGATCGGTTTATTGCTATGCTCGGTTATTTTATCATTTTTTTTATTTTGAATTTTTATAGTATAACACAAAGCGAAATAAAGCGCAATGAACGAACAACAAGCTTAAGTTACTGATGTAGTGTAGTCGAACCAAAGATACGAGACCGTGGGAAAGAATATTAAAATATGGTTGTTGTTATCTGCTTTATATAACTAAATGCTTGGTTTGTTTACGTTTTCTCGATATCGTTAAGCTTTTTCTGGTTAATGTAGCGGCATATGTATGAGTTAATTTTGAATAAACATTTCTTCTATTTTCTCATATACTTGGTCAATCGCATTATTTTACTGAGCTTCGAGCATATACTTTTGTTTGAAAATCCAGTTATTATCGAACGAGACTCGCTGTCGAAAGCCGGTTTAGTTTTTATATATTAATATTTCTATTCTCTCTTCTCTCGAATTTTTTATACTGATCTTCTTTCGCTACATTATATTATAAAAACAATTATAATAACATAAAAATATTATATTAACCACATGAATTTAAAAAAAAATTAACTATATATATAAACCAATATATATACATGTATGTTGATAAATAATTTATTACAAAATCTCTGTATTATATGTACATATAGGATTTATAGGATTTAAATGAAAAAGAGATAAATATACAATTGTTTTGTGTTCCTATATTATATGTATCTATTATCTTAAAATATATTTGAATTATTTTAAAATTTATCTTAAAGACATTTTTAATTATTTCTTAATAAGGTTATCAAGGAAAGAATTGTGAAGAAAATATTGATGATTGTCCAGGAAATTTATGTCAAAATGGTGGCACTTGTGTTGACGGAATCAATTCTTATCGTTGCAGTTGCCCAGCACAGTTTACAGGCGAATTATGCGAAACCGATGTAGATGAATGTGCTTTAAGGTAAATTACAACTGTAAATATGGGAACTTTAAATTAATGTTGTTATATTTATTATAGGCCATCAGTTTGTCAAAATGGTGCAACTTGTACTAACACTTACGGATCGTATTCTTGCATATGCGTAAATGGTTGGGAAGGTACAGATTGTAGTAAGAATATTGATGATTGTGTTGCCGCCGCCTGTTTTAATGGAGCTACTTGTATTGATGGGGTTGGTTCATTTTATTGTCGCTGTACACCTGGAAAAACTGGTTTATTGTGCCACTTAGATGATGCATGCACTTCTAATCCATGTCATTCTGATGCTATTTGTGATACGAGCCCAATAAATGGTTCATATACGTGCTCATGTGCAACAGGATTTAAGGGAGTAGATTGTTCTGAAGATATTGATGAGTGTGATCAGGGTTCACCCTGCGAACACAATGGTGTATGTGTTAATACTCCAGGTTCATTTATGTGTAACTGTTCGCAAGGTTTCACTGGTCCACGATGTGAAACCAACATAAATGAATGTGAATCACACCCGTGCCAAAATGAAGGAAGTTGTTTAGATGACCCAGGAACTTTTCGATGTGTTTGTATGCCTGGTTTCACTGGCACGCAATGTGAAATTGATATCAATGAATGTCAATCCTCTCCCTGCTTAAATGATGGTAATTGTCGTGACATGATTAACGGTTTTAAATGTTCTTGTGCACTTGGTTTTACTGGACCACGTTGTCAAATAAATATCGATGATTGTCAATCTCAACCATGTCGAAACAATGGCATTTGTCGTGACTCTATTGCGGGATATACATGCAATTGTCCACCCGGCTATACAGGACTATCATGTGAAATAAATATCAATGATTGCGACTCTAATCCATGTCACCGTGGAAAATGCATCGATGGAGACAATTCTTTTGAATGTGTTTGTGATCCAGGTTATACAGGCTATCTTTGTCAAACTCAAATAAATGAATGTGAATCGAATCCTTGTCAGTACGGTGGACATTGCATAGATCGCATAGGATCGTATATATGCCAGTGTTTGGCTGGTACATCCGGTAAAAACTGTGAAATAAATGTAAATGAATGTCATAGCAATCCTTGCAACAATGGAGCTACTTGTATTGACGGGATCAATATGTACACTTGTAACTGTGTTCCCGGATTTACAGGAGTACATTGCGAAATTAATATAAATGAATGTGCTTCGAACCCGTGTGCTAACAGTGGCGTGTGTATGGATTTGGTAAACGGATATAAATGCGAGTGTCCACGTGGCTTCTTTGATCCAAGATGTTTAAGTGATGTTGATGAGTGTGCATCGAATCCATGCACAAACGATGGAAGATGTGAAGACGGCGTAAATGAATTTATATGTTATTGTCCGCCTGGCTATACTGGTAAGCGATGCGAAATTGATATTGACGAATGTAGTTCAAACCCTTGCCAACATGGTGGACTTTGTATTGATGAATTAAACTACTTTAAGTGCCAATGTATGCCTGGTTATACAGGATATAAGTGTGAAACTAACATTGATGACTGCGTTAATATGCCCTGTGCAAATGGTGGCACCTGTATTGATAAAGTAAATGGCTATAAATGTGTATGTAAAGTTCCATTTACAGGTTTGGATTGCGAATCGAAGCTTGATCCTTGTTCCACAAATAGGTGTCGCAATG